GTGGAAGGTCAACTGCCTGAAGGGACAGAGCCCTTTTTGTAAGCTTAGGGAATCGGAGTTAGGAGATCTGAGCCTGGAAAGATGGAATGGGAACAGATGGTAAAGCTCTGGCAACACAGCATCAAGGTCTTTGGTTTAGGAATGCAATTCCCCCTAGAAGTTTGGTTTTTCCCTGTCTACCCCCTCACCAAAAACTGCTCCTTTGGTATTTTGTGCCGTTTTCCCACGCCACCATTCTTTGCCCCCACCCCCACCCGGAACTTCAGCTCCTTCTTTCTCTCCCAACTTTAGAACCGTCATCTGTGAACTGGAACGTGTCCTCCAACCGGCAGGCACATCACACCGACAAGTTCTACAGCCCAGAACTGATCTTGCGAAGAGGCCAACCCTTCCTCGCCTCAGTGGGCTTCAAGGGAAACGTGGGCTCTGGGGAAGATCTGACATTCACCGTCTCCACAGGTACCTGCTCACCCACCTTGTACATGAGTTGCCCTTGAGCTGTGTATGTAGCTGGAGATAGTAACACTACAGTCACTGAGCCTTGGGCTCCAACTCAGCCCTGGCTTTCAATCAGTGTGACCTTGGGCAAGTTGCTAAAGGGTCACCATCTTTAAATCGAGGGGCATTTGGTCCCCGTGGCCCCTCAAGCATATTTCAGAGATACCATTCCGTGTCCGTCATATGACGTTCCCATGGGTGGTCCTGGAAGGGGATCTCTCCCACAGTCTGGCTAGCATGCTGATTTCCATGGTTCTCTGTCTTCTTTGGCAGGCCCCAACCCCTCCGAGTCAGCCAGGACGAAGGCCGTGTTTCCACTCGCCAATGGGACAAGGGGCGGCTGGAGTGCTGAGCTTCAGTCCAGCCAGGGCAATACTCTGACCATCAGCTTCTCCAGTCCTTCCAGCGCACCCATAGGACGGTACACACTGGGCCTTCAGAGCCCCTCCTTCTCTGTGAATCTTGGGACATTCATTCTTCTCTTTAATTCTTGGGACCAAGGTAAGCATTGAACCACCTCTACTGCCAGCTACCCACTAAGCAGAGCCCATCAGAAGGTGGTGGTGGTGGTGGGTGACTTCCCATGGCTCAGGTTGGATTAGGCAACGGGTGTGGGCTATGGAAAGAGCACAGAAGCCAGAAGCCAAAGACCATGAGTCCCTGCTCTGCTGCTTACCGGCTGGGTCACTGGACACTCACTGCACAAAGAGGAGTCTGGGATTCCTCATCATCCAATGGAGTTTGTTTTCCTACTGTCTCCTCTAGGGCTATTGATAATGTTTTTTGAGCATGCTAGAATTTTTTAAAAGGCGATGACCAGTGTAACTCTGCACACGGAGACAGTCTCCTGTCCAAAGGAGCATCGGTAGTGAGCCAGTTCTCCAACCCCGAGGTCGCATTTGCAGACACCCAGCTCCTCCATGCTTCCCCTCCAGCTCTGCATTCCCACTGCCTTGGAGTTGCAACAGTGCAGCCCAAAGCTACAATCTGAGATGGGGTCTCTGAGGGAAGGGCTGAAGTGAAACGTCCTCGAAGCTCTGTCCTCAGGAGAGGGAAGAGCGGGAGAAGATTGATCTCTCTGGTTCTCTGTAGGACACTAGTCCCCATTATATCTCCTTTTTGTGTCAAACAGATGATAGCGTCTTTATGAACAATGCCGCCGAGAGAGAGGAGTACGTTCAGCAAGATGCCGGCATCATCTATGTGGGAAGCACAAATCGCATTGGCATGGTTGGCTGGAACTTTGGTCAGGTAGGGAAGGGGTCAGAAGGAAGCTGGAGGGCATGTCCTGTTGCTCAAGGAGCTCAGCAGTTGGTCCGATGGACAAGCAGAAACCCTCATCTCTCCCTCTGCCTGTCCTTCTACTCATTCATCCAGAAGACACTCCATGGCCACCTATGAGGTGCCAAGACCCAGGCTGCACCCTACGGAGAGAAACTAAGAGAAAAGCCAAAGCTGCTGTCTATAGGGAACTCACCATGCAGTGAGCACAACAGGCCTGTAGCTGACTGGTGATGAAGTATAATTGGCACCATGGCACTCTGGACAGAAGGAAAATCGATTGAGTTTCTGCTTTTTATCCCATGGAAAAGCGTGGTGAACGTCCCTTGCTGCGTGCACTAGACCTGTCAAAGCCTTAGGCTCTTTGTCCTTTATTATCCTGGTCCCCTTCTGAGTCCCCAGGTCTCCCTGGCTTGCTCAGCTTAGAAAACATTCAGGGGCCTCCCCCACCTTTTCTTTTTCCCAGAAGACAACCCCTCCCACAGTCAGCAAGACCGGTTCTGTTTCCTCCTCTATATGTGTCAAATGTCCTTTGAAGAAAGAAACAAAAAGTCCAGTACAGGTAGACCGTACATCTAGAGATGAAAGGTGGTCTGGTTTTGCTAGCATGCTCAGGGAAAGGTTTCTTTTAGGAAGAGACATTTAAGTGGAGACCTGAAGAAGGTAAGCGAGGGGCCATAAGCGTCCCAAAGAGAAGAAACCAAAGCAAAACTAAACTCACTGCCATCGATTCGATGCTGACTCATAGAGAGCCTATAAGACAGGGTAGAGTTGGGGGTGGGGGTTTCTGCACAGCGCCGTATGTATCCAGAGAGCTTTAGATGAGTCAATAGGGCAGATGGTCGGGCATGGCGGCTATTCCTCAGTTGTTCTCCTCAGTTCCGGAGATTAATGATGGAAGCTCCCAGCTCGTTCTCATGACTCACCAGGGTGGCTCTTTTGTCCCTTGATTAGTCTAGACCACTTGTCATTTCTCTCATTTTAACATTTTATGTCCCCCCCATCCCACACCTCTTTTTACAGTTTGAGCAGGACATTCTGAGCATTTGCCTGTCGGTCCTTGATAGAAGTCTGAATTTCCGCCGTGACCCTGAAACTGATGTGGCCCGCAGAAGTGACCCCAAATATGTTGGCCGCGTGCTGAGCGCAATGGTGAGTAACAGGCAAACGATAAGAGCAAGGTGTTGCCACTTAGTGAGCACTAACTATGGGTTGCAGGGACAGCCCTGGCGGCTTCATGGGTTACTTGTCAGGCTGCTAACTGCAACGGTCAGCCACTCCGCTGGAGAAAGATGAGGTTTTCCACTCGCATACAGAGTTACAGTCTTGGAAACCCACAAGGCCAGTTCTGCTCTTTCCTGTAGAGTCGGTGTGAGTCAGGATTGGGCTGCTGGCTGGGAGGGTTTAAACTATGGGTTAAGCGCCTGCACTCATCAAACACACCGTCTCATGGAGTCGGTTCTGACTCAGGTGACCCATGTGTGTGCCAGAGTAGAGCCAGGCACCAAAGAATTTTCAGATTTTTTTCCAGAGGTAGATTTCCCAGCCTTTCTCCCAAGGCATCTGGGGGTGGATCTGAACCGCCAACCTTTCAGTTAGCCACCAAGCACATTCAGTATTTGCAGCACCCAGGGACTCCTCACAAAATACAACCCAAATGGTTTCGTACGATTTCCAAAACAGGAAATCTTTAGGAATAAGACAGCCTCATGTATCTTCCGAGGAAGGGCGGGTGGGTTTGAACCACTGACCTTGCAGGTAGCAGCCCACACTAAGGATAATGGACTTCGTAGCTATTATCCTCCCTGTTTGGTAAACGTGACATGTGGGGCTCCTCTGGACTCGCGGACTTGGCTGAGGAGCACTGGGTGTGAGTGGCAGAGGGAGGGCAGGAGCATGGTCTTTCCCTATATTGGGAGGTGTTTCCCAGATGACAAGGAGAACTTGTCCTTTGGTGCCCCAGGGACAGGAGGAAGCCAAGCCGAGACTGGTTGCATTAGTGAGCACCCTGGGAAAGGAGGCAAGTCCCTAGAGAATCACAGTGCTGAGCACCTGGGTACCTTCACTTAGATCTGTCTCCTCCACAGCACAGGGGACTGGGTGTCAGGATGGCAGGCCACCAGCCCAGCCTGCTCTTTATCTAGCTGGGGGACCAAAGCCCAAGAACTGAAGTGGCCTGCTCATCACCACACAGCCTGACTCTGTCACATCAGAGCCAGGCCTCAAGCTGCCTGCCCAGAGCCTCTTCCCACACCACCCGCCCATCCACACACAGTCCTCAGAGGAGCCCATCACTGTGCTCCAAGCCAGGAAGAAGGGGCCACCAGAAAGTCTCCCAACAGGGACCAACCTGTTAGAAAATCACAAGCTAGGAATTCAAAATCTAGAAGAGTTCTTTCACTTTGATCCCTTTAAATGAAATAATTGCTCCAGTATATTTTTTTATTTTGTCTTTTCTTTAAAAAACCCAACAACTGATTAATTAAAAAGATAAACAATTAATGACCTTGGCCTTTCTTGCCCTCTTTAAATTGGAGTTTGGAGGATCTCCAAATTAATGAATTCGTGACACGGTTAAAATTCGTACAACCTGTAGGCTGCATGATACATGTTTGGGGAGAAATCAGGGTGAGCTTTTTGCACCAGTTGAGGCTTACACTGGGTCTGATGGGAAGGCATAGGGTGGGTGGTGGTGTCGTGGGGGGGTGAGGGGGGGAGAGGCAGTGTGGTTCAATGGCAGAATTGCTACCTTCCAGCTGCGAGATCTGGGTTGGATTCCTGGTCAATATACCTACCTTCTGTGCAGCTCCCATCTTGGTCAGTAGAGGCTTGCCTGTGGCTATAATGCTGGACAGGCTTCAGCAGAGCTTCCAGTGTAAGAAAGGCTAGGGGGAAAGCCTTGGTGATCTACTTCCATAAGAAACAGCCAATGAAAAACCCAATGGATCCCACTAGCCTAATCTGAAACCAATCAGAGAGATGTGTAGCGCTGGGCAGCACTTCATTCTATCGCGGATGAGGTCCTCGGAAGTCAGGGCCCACCACGGGGTCCAGGGGAGTTGGAGAGAGTCAGGAGATGGGTCAGGACTAGAACAGCCCCAGCACGACACACAGAGGAACTGAAGCTTACGCAGAACATCAAAATCCAGGAAGATTGGAAATCCAGTGGTCTGGGAGGGAGGAGGGGGCTGAAAAGCCAAGGCAGGGGTGAAGGGAACCCGGTAGCCTTTGGAGGCTGAGGAAAGAGTGGGTGAGGCTGCCGGTTCCTGCAGCCGCTGACTCACTCAGCCTCAGGTCAAACCGCTCTATCTGGGTGCCAGTTTCCTCGGCTGCACCTCCCCAGGAGCTTGCCAGGCCTCCCAGTTGGGCTGGGCCCCAAGCTAGTTGTGGCTTGTGCAGGGCTTTGAAATGCTCAGCCAGAGATGACCCTCCTGATTACTACCATGGTGGCTGGAGCACCGGTGATTCAGGAGATGGGGGCATGGCCACACCATCTTCCCTCTCAGGGGAGGTCTAATCCAGTCCATCCTGTGATACCAGGCCCTCCCATTGGGGGCGGGGGGTGGGGGGACTCTCCTACTGAATCCAGGAGCCAAGAAAACCCACCCCCACCACCTTGCCACTTGGCGGGGTGGGAGGGCAGTTAAGTGTGGCCCATGCGTCCGAACACTTATAAAGTCATAAGCCATTCAGTGGACATATCAAAACCAAACATGCTGCTTCCCCAAAAAGAGGGAGACGAAATCATGATTTCTCAGGAGCCAGTGGTCCTGGGGGAGCCCGGTCCAGCCTCCATACAGTTGGGATAAATGACCGAGTTCCACAGACCGGACACTTGGCTTCTCAGAACTTCAGCAGCTTCTTCTGGTGCTCACCTTCCCTGCACTGGAAGATGAAGAACAGGGCCCCCAGCAGAGAACTGACTTGGCCAAGTTCACGGAGCTGACAAGAGGCAGGGCTGGGCTTGCAACCTAGCTTCTACCTTCTTGCGCCCTTTGAACTTGTGACTCTGGAAGAGTTCCGACACATGCACAGGGAGGATGGGCACGATGACCCCTGTGGGCCCATCTCCTGGCTTCAGCAATTCTTTCCTGTCGAACCCCCGCCCCTGCGATCTGACACATCGCAGACATGACATCACCCCACTGGGAAGAGTCCAGCCTGTGTCTCGGAAAGGTAGTGGACTCTTGACTCCCCACACAGTGCTCTCTTACACCACCTCATGCGTGTCTGGCTTATGTTAGAGCATGCTCTGGGGTAAATGAATGCATACATGGGGGGGGGGCAATAGTCCATCTTCAGTCTTCCAAGAAGTTAGCTGCTCGTTGATTCTACCTCACTGTGACCCTAGGTAGGGGTTCTGAGACTGCAAGTCCTTAGAGGAGCAGGCAGCCTCGTCTCTCACCTGTGGAGTGGCTAGTGGGTTTGCAACACCAACTTTGCGGTTAGCAGTCCAATGCCCAATCCCCCAGGACTCTAAAAGAGAGGTCCAAGCCATGGACTCAAGTCAGGTGTCTGTGACAGTGTAAGAGCTCTTACAAGGGCCTCTGTGCGAGCTACATTTCCCGTCCCTCCTTGCCAATGGCAAGCTGCAGTCTCCAAAATGGATGGATGGATGGATGGATGGATCAAGGGCAGTTAAACTCTGCCCATTAGTCACAGGTCAATGCGCTTTTAAATCCACAAACTGTTCAGCATGTTTAAAAACCAAATCAGTTACCACTGAGACCATTCCAGCTTGTGCTGCAAAGTAGAACTGCTCCGCGGGGTTTTCTTAGCCTAACTTCTCTTTCGCGGCACCACTGGGTGGGTTTAAACTGACAGCCTTTGGGTTGGTAGTCTAGTGTACATCATTTACCCAACCCAGGGACCTAGTTCATCCCCCTACAGAGATATTATTACAGTTACGATGCCCCAGGTCCTAGAACGACCGGGATAAGCCTACAGCTCAGCTCCCACCTTGGGCTCTCACGTGGCCATCTGTGGGAAAGATAGAGACTGACTCCTCTGGGGCTCTCCTGCCCAGATCAATGGCAATGATGAAAATGGCGTGCTTTCTGGGAACTGGAGCGGCAACTATACGGGTGGCCTGGACCCCAGAAACTGGAACGGCAGCGTGGAGATCCTTAAGGAGTGGAAAAGATCCAACTTCAGACCCGTGCGCTTTGGCCAGTGCTGGGTCTTTGCTGGGACCCTCAACACAGGTACTTCCAGCGTGCTATTCCTTTCCTGGGCCAGGGGGTACCCTCTCCGCTGGCCCCCGAGTCCTCAGACTGACCCTGACTTGTTGCAGTGCTGAGGGCTCTTGGGATTCCCTCACGAGTGATCACCAACTTCAACTCGGCTCATGACACAGACCGGAACCTCAGCGTGGACGTGTACTATGACCCCCTGGGGAACCCCTTGGACAAAGGCAGCGACAGCGTGTGGTGAGTGTATGCCCCTCCCCTGCACCCAGAACACCCAATCGGAGTAGCACCTTCTCCTCCCCATTCTCTGCGACCCAGTTAGAAACAGGAGAGGGTGTAGAGGATAGATGCTGACAAAGTCGCCTAGATGTGTGGCAAGACCCAAACCACCTGGATTCTCAGGATTCTGCAGTCACATGGTCTGCTCTAGTCTGCCGTCTGCTGAGCGGTCTGGCACCAGGGGAGGGTTTGGCTCAGGAAGTCTGCAAAACTGCCCAGCATTTTCAGGGTCTATTAAGTTTGTCAGGTATAGTGTACAACACATATATTTTCTTAATGTGAAAAAAATAACAGCCGTGTATTTTCTCGAATCGTATGTACTTACTATGTTCTGTAACTGCTGGACTGAAAAGTGAGAGATGTGTACTGGGTTCCCATGAAACGTAAGAGGCTTTAGCTACAACTGGACCCAGCCACGACTATGCCAGGTGCATTTGTATGCATATAAACAAAAAAAACAAACTCACTGTATGCAAGTACACACACCTAATTTAGACTAGATGTCAAATGGAAATAGGTTATGTAAAACTTTCAGACAGGCAGAGTTAATGGTCTGAAATGTCAACCCCCTAATTCACAATTTTAAAAATGCATTTAAATAAATAAACAAATATAAAGACATCTATACCCATAATTGCTTATAGCAGTATATGTCATAAAAATAGATGTTTTCTCAGCTATTTAAATTTATAGTTGAAATCAAGCTATTACCATATGGCAACCGAAAATAATTATATCTGTATCTGTCAATGAGGAGCTCTGGTGGTAAAGTGGGTTATGCGTTGAACTGCTAACCACAAGGGCAGCAGTTTGAACCCACCAGCTGCTCTGCAGGAGAAAGATGAAGTGTCTACTCCTGTAAAGATTTAAAGTCTTGGAAACTCAAATAGGCAGCTCTGCCTAGGCCTATAAAGCTGCTATGAGTCGGAATCAACTGGGTAGGAGTGAATTTGGTTCAGAGTATATCTGTACATACACAGATATCTCTGTGTGTTCATGTGTATAGGTCAACATTCTCTTATCTTAATCCATTGCAAGGCGCGCACACACACACACACACACCCCAACTCACCCCCATAAACCAAACCAGACTCGCTGCCATTGAGTCAATGCTGTGGGTTCCTGGGACTATACCTGTGTATAGAAGTAGAAAGCCTCGTCTCTCACCTGCGGAGCTGCTGGTGGTTTCAAACTGCTGACCATGCAGATCGCAGCCCAACATGTAACCACGACACGACCAAAGTTCCCCATAGATTTGGTAAAATAACCTTACAGCCGTTAGTACCTTATTTTCAGGTAGTCAACATTCCTTCAGAGACACTCTAAAGGAAACCTACTGTTAAGGAGGTTCCAGCCCATGGCGACCCCATAGAGGAAGGTCGACCTGCCCCATGGGCTGCTGTCTTTCCAGACACAGGCTGCCACAGCTGTCTTCTACAGAGTGTCTGGTGGCTTTGAACCACCAGCCTTTCCATTAACAGCCCGGTGCTGAACTCTTGCACCTCCGGGCTCCTTCACATGGAGACAACAACAACAACCAATCAAACTCACTGCCACTGGGTTGATGTCAACTCACAGCAGCCCTTTAAGACAGGGTCCCACTGCCCTGCTGAGTTCCCCAACTGTGACTGTTAGCGGGAGTAGAAAGCCCCACCTGTCTCCTGTGGAGCAACTGGTGGTTTCGAACTGCTGACCTTTTGAATCAAAACTGAACAGGTAACAAATACACCACCAGGTCTCCTTAACATTGAGGTGGTCTGTATAAAATAAGTTATTCTTTGTTCTTCCCAGATCAGTAGGCCAACTTTTCTGAAAGATGGGTAGTGTAAATAACGAAATAAAATGAAAATAAGAGTGCGAGGGGAAACGTGCTATCGAGCAAACTGCCTGCGCCAGCAGCTGAAGTGCGGGGTGTGAGCGCCCACACGCTCCACAGGAAGCAGAAATTCTGCCCTCCCCTGCGGTCCCACGGAGTCCCAGGGCTTTATCACAAAAGCTCCTTTGAGAACTTCCTTTCTTGGCCTGTACGTATACAATGTTCTAAGGACATTGCTTCTTTTTTTTAATCGCTCTATTAGGGTCTCATACAACTCTTATCACAATCCATACATACATTAATTGTGTAAAAGCACTTTTGTACATTCATTGCCCTCATCATTCTCAAAACATTTGCTCTCCACTTAAGCCCCTGGCATCAGCTCATTTTTACCCCCTCCCTCC